TTGGCTGCTTGGTTTTCAGATGTGTTTTTTGGGAGCTGCTTGGTTCTAGCTTATAAATGCTTGAGCTGATGTTTAGCTCATTATTATGAAAAGTTATTCCACTTGTTAGCTCATTATGTGGAGTGGATTCTTGCCTTTTTTCTATTCTCTGTGTCTCTTCGATTTTCCCTGCCTGGTTGCATGTTCCAATTCCCCTAGCTGGTTCCGGCTACCCTGACTGCTGGTTTCGATTCCCTGTGCTGCCCCTTCGGTTTCTCCCCTGGCTGCCTGTCCCGTGGCTGCTTTACCCGACTTTATGTGTGGTTTTTTCGGGCGCTGTTCTGGAAAAATTTCTGGCCTTCTAGTTCCTCTTACCTTATTGGTTCGGTTGGAGGTTGAATGGTTGTTTGGCTGCCCCCTTTTCTCTTATAAATTGGAGATGTTTTGAGACATAAAAGGTTGTTGAATATTTGAGCAAAGTCTCTACAAAAACCTGAGGGTTTCTCTCTTTGGAAAAGCTTGAGAGCTTATTCCATTTATCTCTTCCTCTCCACTATTTCGTCTTGAGCTTCTAACCTATTCTTCTCTCCGCAAGTTCCACTCCACTTGTATCTTTATTCTTTAGCTATTGGAAGGTGTTTGTTGGCTGATTTGGTGACATTTGCAGGAGTTTTGTTTGACGTTGGACCTTGTAGCTGTGGTGAATCCATGGTTTGCAAGCTTTTAAGCACTTAACTTATTTACCTACTTTTCGTTGCATGTGAGAAAACCGCTTGTCGGTTGTTCTGAGGATAGTGTTTTTTATTTTCAATTTTGTTTCGTTTGTTCGGCTTTCATTTGTCTTGGTGTTTGTTTGGATGTCAGCATTCTTGTTTGAATTTAGTTTTGTTCTACTAGTCCTAGTGTTCTCCTCTTTTGGATCTTTCTTTCTAGTTTGTCTGCATCAAAAACCTCCAAATATTTCTTTAGATTGTAGATGCTACCGCTACCTCTGTAATAAACCGATATGGGTGGCCAGTTCAACCGAACCGGCCAACCCTTCTAATAAAAGTCGCAACCCCAACAGGGGTCGGTGTTGTTCGCGAAACAGAGAGAGCGGACGACGGACAGCTTCGTGCGAGAGAGCAAGGTGAGTTTCGTTTTTTCAAATTTAGCAAACGAATGTTTTTAATGATAAGAATTAATGATTCGTTTTCCTTCCTACCGTTAAAGGAGTGATAATTTTGGAAGAAATTTCTATGGACGAGAAGAACGATCGAGAAGAAAAGGGAAGGTTTGTTGAATTCTTCCTTCCTTTTTCTTATAAATTTCGTCGATTTCTTCATTTAAAAGAAAATGATATTTTGGGAGAGGAAGAAGGATTTAGGGATTTTGAGGAAATTATCATTTGTAAGTAAATTCTTTATTGTTTAACATTATTTAAATTTTGTTATTTAATTACATTTCATGCAAGTTATACTAAATGGATTTAGGGATTTTAGAAAGGAAGAGATTGAAAACAAGGAGAAGAAATTTTGGAAGTGAAAGAAAGAAAGGAAAATTTTGTAAGATAATTTCATATGGAAATCAGACATTTTTTGAGTCATTCAAATTAGGATTTAATGTTAACTAAACCCTTATGTTATTGTGAACAGTTAAAATGGTTTCATACAAGACAAATATTGGAAGAAGAGAATAAAAGTGGGTAATTATGATTGTATATAAATTTGATTATTATGTTTTCATATTCTTTTGAAAGGAATATTTATGACAATGACAGGTGATTAATATTGTCTATAGACATTTTTATATGTTATTGTTAAATGTTTTAAATTTTAAAAGTGAAGTTTACTTATCTTTTGATGTTATTATGTGAAAAGATTCAAATGAAAGATATAAATATATATGTAAAGAAAATAGATGAATGATACTTTCAGCATAAGAAAATAAGCAAGGAATGGTGAAAGAATAAAATGACCTATATGGCAAATAAATGTCTAAATAAAAATGAAAGGGAAAAGGATATGCATGCAAATTGCAAAAGTTCACCCCCTTATGGTACTGGTTGGGGACTCCTTACCCGTGCACGTAAAAAGGAAAAGTTTATGGAAAAGAAAAAGAAAAATGGAAATGGTTGTACATCGATACATTTAGACGGTGCTCCTGTACAAATGAGTGAGGAAAAGAAATAAATATTAAAGCTCTATAAAGGTTATCAAGAACTGTAATATGATATGCATAATTGACTGAAAAGAATGAAATGAAGATAAGGAAGGGAAATGAATAAAAAAATATATTAAAGGTTATATGTAATGTATATTTAATTTTTATGTTAATTGTTTTAACAGTTACCATTGAGTTTACTTCGTAAACTCATTCCACTAATTAACTATTTCAGGTAAGTCTCCAAAGAAGAAGAAATGACTTAAAGGCAAGATTTCGTCTATAGAAGACGATGTGTAAATGACGACAGATAAAATGATTGATGAAAATGCTTAATTCGGCCCTAGATTGAATATAGTTTTCTTTAGGATTAGTGGCTCTTCAATTGATGAAAAGTTTATGTTAATGTGTTTTTTTTCTAGAATGGAATTATATTGTATTACTGTCCGATTTTTCGTTCCCGCCTCGTTAGAACGAGTATCCGGGTCTGTCGTAACAACCTCATCACCAATCCTTGGATTTGAAATTATCCATATAGAACTAGAAAGAGTTCATGAGTTACTTTAGAAACAATGGAGTCTATTTTTGTCATATCTAAATGAAGAAACATGTTCATTAACAAACTTTTCTCGCCAACCCAATTGATGAAGTTGCAGATAATCATCACCAGAGAGATCTAACATCGCCTTAAACTTCTAATACCTCCCATTATTTGTTTCACGATCCTAATGGTACCAAACAAGTTCAAAGGTCATCGATTATTGTTCACATGATCATTGGACATTAGCAATGTGATGTGGAACGAACATGCGAAGATCTTCGTAAGAAATTAAAATTGAGTTGGCAAAGAAATTACAACTAATAACTTATGGCGATAGCAAGAAAATCATTAAAATTTCGTGGTTGTCAACTAGCTTAGGCGAAGAAGTATGTAGATTAGCCAAAACTTTCAGACAACCAAAAAAAAAATAGCAACACTAAAAGCTATTACAACAATCCGTCATTTAATAACGAGAAGTTCACCTTGGGGAAATAATCACTCAACTAGACTAAGCTTTGCGGGAGAAGAATTTCAGCACACCAAACGATGCCACGAAGAAGGTCGCGATGCCAAGGGTCTTGAACCACGGAGAGGTTGACGATGACGAGGAGGGCGTGAATGCTTGACTTTCGAGACTCCAAGTGTACTTAGCGAATTGTCGGTCGTAGATGCT